AACCAGCCACAGTATTATGGCACATTTGATATATTGATAAATTGCGGGTCCTTACAGTTGTCATTTATGTCCTTTCAGTATTGTTATTATTGCTTTTTTATTTCGTCCTTGAGATTGTGCTCCATTCACCATTTCACTTTCTCCAATCCGAATACAATGGAATCTTTTAAAAGCACTAAAGGACATAAAACCTTAAATGAAAATAAAATTCAAGTCGGCAACATGAAGTGGCATAAATTAAATCTATGAGTTGTATTTTTTGTATTATTTCTCGGCTTGCGAATTTATTTGTTGGCAATTTATTGTTTTAGGTAAAATGTACACGCATACATTTGCCCTGTTATTGTTTGTCCTTTTAGCGCATTAGCGGAAATGCACATAAAGCGTAATTTGAGAGGCGAAATTTCGAATGGAATTATAGTAGGACGAACCGCCTTTTATGATAGCATATAAGGAGTGGAAGATATATGCAGACAATACGATAATTTAATGTTTTATTTGTTAAAAAAATCGATTTTTGTTACCCCTGTATTCGAAATTGATATATATGAAAAGCTTTCGAACAACAAAAACAAATCAACACCAAAACTTAGTAGTGCTGACATTTGAATTAACATTTTCTCATTCCTACGTCACTGTAAAAATTCTTACATTTCAAGAACCATCAAGCGAAGGATATTAAATTATAACCTACTAGACAATTTTAGTCTCTTTCTTCAAAAAGAAAGAATCTAATAAATAAAACCCAACATGTTAATTACGCGTCTAAGTATAGATTGTATTTTAAGGAACTGGTAATTTCACATTTATATTTATTTCTTGGAAAAATTAAGTCCAACAAGAAAAACTATAAATTAATAAATACTTTAATTGTATATATTAATATTAAGAACATGAATCTATGAGCGAACTCGTGAAGTTGAGAATTTGAATAAATTTTTAAAGATAACCGATCTTGGGAATCTTGGGTTATGAATTGATTAACTTAAGCTTTTACATGGAATTTTCACAAAATAGTTTTGTTATATAAATTAAGTCATTCACACTACGAGTGTTAATTTTGACCAATTTGATCACACAATTTGTAATACTTATATCTAATATAATATTATACATTAAAACTTTAAGAGAATTTTTGAGTAAAGAGCCATTTAAGCGATTATTTAAAGTAATTACTTCTTATGGCTTTTAATTTGACTTCATTCCAAAATCTTGCAGATTCTATAAGTTTTTTTTTTTCGTTTGCTTTTTTTTCATTTTCTATCTTCTAATAAGTTTTTGTCCGATTAATGCACAATATATTTTTTGCTCAGGATATTTTATTTTTTTAACGGAAGGTAGAACGTTTTTTGGACTGTGAAACCGATCGTCATTGGATCAGTCTGTCCGACTCCTTAAGAAATTTATATGTACTATAAAAACTTAGACATACCCACCAGAAATTAATTGCCCCGCGAAACTACTTTCGCATTACTTTTGGCAGGGTTTTTTTTGGCATATGTCCAATTTATTTGCATTGTTTCTGCTTTTTGTTTCTACATCTAATATCCTCATATTGAAGACCTTAACCATATATGACTCTAATATTCACCAGTTATCTGTGTTAGGGATCATCCTTTTATATATTTAGAATTTATCATTTTAATCTGGACTTGTATCGCTTTTCCTAGTGTAAACCATGTATTATAACAGAAAAAGGTCTTCGTGTTCATAAATATATCTTGGTCGATTCGGTTTTGCATTGCAGTTCAGGTACTTGCACAAGTAGCTTTGTCCGGTATATATTGATTAAGACAGATATCAGTTTAGCTGCTTACCGCATTACAATGGTTTGCTTCTGATATTTACTTGTCATTTGTTCAATATACCATGCGCCCGTCTCTTTATAGTCAGGCGAGTTATAGTGGTTATTATATAAAAACGACTAGGCACCAGAATTGCTTAAAAGAAATTGTAAATATTTTTACTCTTTACTAAGATATATAAGTATTGGAATTGACTTAATATTGTAATAATAATAATATAAATAATATTACAAACTTCATAAGTTTAATCTTAGCAGAACAGATTTGTGTATAAATCAGGACTGCATATATATTTTATTTGGACATAGAATGGTGTTTCACAAATGGTTATCATCTTTTTAACATTAAAAGATTTTCGTTATTTATTCTCTCATAATTTGAACTTTAATTCCAATTTCTGTTTCAGATTTTAATAAAATTCTGATTTAAACGATTTAAATATACCAGGAATAAATTAATTAAAAATTCAAAAGAAGATTTACTAAAGAAATGTTTTAAACATTTGTTGTGATATTATTATTCTAAAGAACATTAAATATGGAAACAAGTTTATTGTTACTAAATCCAATATTCAATATTAGAAGACTTCTAAATCCACTTGAAAAATATAGTTAGCTGTAAACGAATTGTTCAAAAGTTTGAAAATAGTATTGAAATTTTTATTAACAAACTTTTTAAATTGGTTCTTCACCCAAAAAATAATAATAATTAAATTAAATTAATTAAAACAGTTAAAATATTTTTAATTAGGCTTAGCTGGATTTTCAATAAATGATTAAATTATTGCAATCTTGAGTATTTTGTACTTGAGTATGAAAATTTTTAATAATTTAGAATATATAAAATATTTCTAAAAAAATTCAATATGAAATATATTTGTTTTAGCTAAAATGTTAACGATTTTTTATTTGACACTTACGGTACGATTTCGTCTCCTCAATGAAATACCTCCACCAGCGAAATTTTCCAAACAGCCATTGACATTTTAAAAAACCTCTCAAAGGATGTTCCTTTTGTTTATATTCAACGCTCAGAAATGGGGCATTTGACACGGTAACTAGACTAGTTGGCAAATGAAGTAAAAAAAAGGAAGTGTCCTTGCAAAACACTCTGTCCTTTTGCCACCACGGCAACTTTTTGTCACTCTTGTTTTCGTACAGGCTTTTAGTCCTTTCTGTTTGTTTAGTTTGCGGTATCGCCGCCTGTGAGTAGGCAAACAAACATGTCAGTATTGTTTACTACTCTGACTTTTAGCCAAGTTTGTCAGTATTTCAACGCTAATTGCGATTGCTCGATAAGCTACTTTCTAGGTACACTATATTTATGACAAAACAAGTTTTTCTAAACGTAACTGTCAAGGCTTACGTAATAATGGGAACTGTCAATAGTAGAACCTTCAAACTACTTGACAATGGGCGTCTGACCTTATGTGTAACATGAAACACTTTCATGAATTTTCGTGTAATAATTTTTCTTGTATATAAAGTATGTACGTATTGAAGTAGAATATCAAAAGGAAAAATAGGATTCAATTATTCTGATATATTAAAAATTATCGTTTGTGAGAAATAACAAATAAATAACAAAAGGAATCTTTAATCATTCTTTATGTAGAATATTAAGATCACTTTACTGAAGTGTGTATATCTAACTCATAACTTCTAATAATAATAGTAATTTTTATT